GAAAAAAAAAATCATACTTTCGGGAACACCCTATGATCAGTGTAGGGATAGCAAAATGTCAGTACAGACAGATTCTTGGCATGAAGAGGCTGAGTGTGTGGCCTTTGATAAGAAAAATCATGTGAGATCCTGATTTGAACACACATAAATGCTGGTACTAAGAAATCTACTGAAAAGGTCAATATGCCTTTTTGAAAATTGTGTGAGCTCCAGTGGAGCTGACAGTCTCCTCTCCATATCCATAGTTCAAGAGGTCAGTATATACCACACACAGTCTGGTTCCTCTGTCCTCACCTCACTAAAGAGTCCAAATCTTTCTCATATTACTTCGTTAGGGTTTCTTCCTCCAGTGCGACTAAGCCTGGCACCACAGTGCCCCCTACTGGCGTTGGTTGGTATAGCAGCCCAAAGTTGAAATACTGTAGTTTGAAGGCAGAATGTGAGACACAGGAAAAAGAAAGTCCATTTACCTATCTTGGCCAGTGGCCAGATCATTATATCCCTCCAAGTCTGGGGAATAATTTATCCTCCAAACAGTCAAATGAGTTGCTACTTCAGCAACTCATATCCCTGGGTTCCTGGCATTGCTTCTTGGTTTTTCTCTTTCGTTGAGAGCTGCACTGCACCACTTCCAAATTTTGAAAACACAGACTCTGAATGCTGCCCTTCTCCATTGACAAATACACCAGGCTGACTTTTCCTCTGACCCTGCTCCACTCCATCTTTCCAGCTTTATCCTCTTCCCAGCCCTGTTATTTCCCCAACACCATTATTTCTCCCTCATCTATTACAGGCCTTTTAGTTTCGTAAAACAGCTTGAAAGGGTCTTGTCCCCATGTGGCTTTTGGCAGGCTCAAAAGTAAAGTGCTTTGACTCACAGCTTTCACAGAATTGTGGAGGTGCTGCTTAGTGTTAAACTATGAAGGGGGAAGGCTCGGGTCACATCTGTGAAACGTTAGCAGAGAGAGGAGGATGGGGAAAGTAGGTGGCCAGCACAGCACAGCACTTTGTTGGGTTTTGCAAGGCCACTTGGGAGATAGGCGGCCATTTGTCTTGGAACCACTTCCATCCTATCCCGATAACAAGCTGCCTTGCCGTCTGCTTGCTGGCAAGGGGGCCGTAAATACCTTGGCAGACTTAGGCCTCTTGAATGGCTGGAGACAGAGCTTGATAGGGGATTAATCACTTTAGGAGGGGGGCTTTGAAGGGGAATTAATTAGCTGTGCTAATGCTTAGAGATAAAGCAGGTTCATGTTTCTCAGCCTCAATCCTCCCAGCACTTGTGGCTTTTGCAACATCCAGAAAAGCAGCACCAAAAGACTTTGTATGTAAATATTTGGAGAAAATCCACCAAAAGGCCCATTCATTGCTATATCCATGAATATACATTTATTTATCTATTTATTTGTTATTTTATTTTCTTAATTTATATAGCCACCCGTCTCAAATTCATTACTCTGGGTACCTATCAGCATGAAAAAACATAAAATAAAAACAAGAACACACATGTAATCTGCAGCCAAGGTAAAAAAACAAAACTACTAATGACAAACCAACACAACCACAGGCTTTACCACTCATTCAGATCCCCAGGCCCAGTGACAAAGCCATGACTTTAAGGCCTTACAAAAGGCCAACAGGGTCAGGGACAATCTATTCTCTGGGGGACTGATGTTCCAAAGGGCGGGTGCCATGACAGAAAAAAACCTCTTCCTAGGCCCCACCAGATAGCACTTCCTAACGGAAGGGACCTGGCCTCTCCTGCCAATAATTCAGTATTATACAATTCAGCTAATTCTCAGAGGGCTAGAAAAAAAAAAAGATTAATGCCAATCTGAAGCCAGAATTAACTTCTAGTAATGAGCTACAACATGTCTATCATCTTTTACTAGCTTGGAAAAGAGCTGGCATATGCAAAACTCCAGTGAACGAATCACATACAACTCAGTGACTATTACTAAAATATAGTACTGAACTACAGCCACATGAATCTTAGTAAGATCTATATCGTCAGACTAACTCTAAAAGCATGCCAGCTTAATTGTACACAAAACCCAGGTCAGCAATTTGTACAGTACAAAATTACACCATATGTTTAGCCTCGTGAAGTGATTCTCACATCTGCTACATTTGAGAAATGAAACATCCATAGGAAGCCTACATTTGCTGAATCTGCTTCTCATATTTCAGACTTCACAGCTCTGTAGTGAGGCATGTTTATATTCTCCAAGACACAGGAGTCATCATTCCATGATCATTTCTCTGCAAATCCTTTTTTTCTGTATCTGCCTGCAATGGCTTTCTTTCAGAAAAGACAGAGATGGAAAATTTGCTTTCACACAATTGCCCATTTTTTTTTCAAAAAATATGGTTCCCCGTCAATTTGCAAGTATCTGTAGTTATACATTTATGATAACATGAATGAATGTTGACTGTGAGTCACCTTATATCATTTTACAAAACACAAGCTATTTAATATCATCTGTACAGAGCATTATGAATGATTGCAGCCTTGTCTGCAGCCATCCAGATTGCTGTGGAAACATTTTCTTCTCTCACTCCAGCATTCTACTTCCAAAGTCTGTATAGTTTATCACCAAGTAAACAATGACTGGGTCATGTAAAACACAATTCCTCTGTCATGTCACATGGTATGCATAAATAAACTATATTATGGTTTAACATGATGGGCTGGTTTCAGACAACATGCTAAGACAATTCACAACAGGCTGAACAAGCTATCTGATCCTACTTTAGCCTAATTTAGCCTACTGGGTAAAGCTAGCTCTGTGATAGAAAATTTTTTGGAATCTATATCATATATACAGTTTGACAAGCCATACTGCTGCAGGTTTCTTTGGAAAACCTGTTCACCATGAATACCTATGAGCACTCTTCCCAGGCTTTATACTGGAGGGAAACCTCCCCATGTAGATAATCATATTCTAGTAGATGATTATATTTATAGTATCATAGGAGCAATGCTTCAAATTGCTCTCTTTGCGACATAAGGCAAACAGGTCTGTGAGGATAGAAAAAACATTGGGGTGGATATTACCACTGTCAAGAAAGGCAGGGGAAGGTCTAAATCTTTTAAAAGAAACAATGATTCACTGATATAACTTTTGTTTCTCTTTCTGCCTTTTTGCAATAATATCTAAGATCAAAAATCTATCCCTTAAAGTATTTTAAATGTTAAAACTGTTCCTAAACTCTAATTTACCAATTTCAGCTCAGAAAGAAACATAACCTGAAATAGAAACAATTGTTTCAAATGTGTTTTTGAAATGACATAAGTTCCCTAAATGTAATACAGTTGCCAAGTAAAAAGAATTAAATAAAAATTCAGATACAAGGGAAATTCTTCCCTACAAACCAGATCCTAGCCTGAACCTGGTATTCACAATTGCAGTCTGTGAGTATCTTGCTTAAACATCTTATCAAATGTAGTTAGAGAAGCAGAAGGAATGGCATTGGTTAAATAACTATGGATTTTTATGGTCCTCAGGAGCTACAATTTTTGCATACCATAACAAGTGTATGGTCACATTTCTCCACTGCTCAGATTACTGGCTATGTAGCTAAGTGCAATAGTTTATCAAAGAAAAGTTTGAACCAAACCACCCCAAGATAGAAGGGTTGAGTTAACAAGACCACATTTAGATAAGAGAAAGCAATACTGGATGGAAGGGGCATACAAAATGCTCATAAAAGCTCCTCTATCAGCGGTAGTCTTATCTCACACAGCAGGACACTGGCTGCTGCAAACCCCTCCTAATTAGGAGGAAACACAAGAGTTTAAACAGCTCAGGGTGCTGACACACGAAGCAGACAAAACTACCCACTGAAAGGATGTGACAGCCTTTGTATGGCTTTTGTTTAAAAACTCACAGCACTGAACATTTATTTTGTTATTATATAAAAAAGAATGTGCAGTTCCATTTAAATTCAGTCCTTAAGTAGGTTCTGTCCAGTTTTCTGTAAAATTGGTACTGTGTGTAATTTTCCTAATATACACTTTTTATATGTGATTTTTCAACATGTATACTTTTGCACACAACTATCCATAACATACACTTTTTGGACACAGCTTTTGAGCTACAAAATATGTCAGAACTGACAACACATGCCCATCTATATCATGATGGTTTTCATTTCATCAGATGTCTTCTCTTTTAAAAAGAAATTTGTGATGATTTTTTTACGTATTTATTGAACACTGGTGCAGCATTTTAGTTTTTACATATGTTATGTTCTTTCATGTGTGCAATTGGATTTATTGGTTGTTGTTTAGTTGTTCTATTTAGGAAAAATATATGCAGGAGGGTAGATGGCTGCCTGCACATATCTTAGGACTGTAGAAAGCATTTGAAAGGGGTATTTCACAAAACATATTGGCACTATGTGGCATCCCTCCTCAAAGTGTTAAAATAGACTTGTCCTGTGAAAGGCTCAGCAATTTCAGAAACTTGTCCACAGAAGTGTTGTCTGTGGTACTGATGAATGATGAGACAACCAGCGAATTTTCTGCCACACCAAGCTGTTTTAACTATTCAAAGAGAGGCCTTTCACAAAGCACACTGGCTCCTTTACAACATTTTGTATGAACTAAAATACATTATTTGATTTCATTTTCTATTTTGAGAATTGCTGTAATAAAAGATAGTTATACCTCTTCAAAGTAAATTCATATACTCAGAGAGACAGATTTTAAAAATAGGAACTTTATACAAGAATTCCCACTCAATTCAGCCTGAGTCAAAAAATTAATTTAGTTATGCATCTGTATTATCCTGTGCCTTCCTCCCCAATTTGCAGTTTGAGGATAACAGAATTTAGGGTTAATTCAAAAGCCAAAGGGCTAGAACATGTTGAATGAAACATATGAAATTAATTTTGTTAGTTTTATACATAAAAGGCAAATGCCTCTTCTTAACTGGGCCTAAAAGTGCCACCAATTGCCTTTTCCTTTTTGCATTTGGGATAGTACTTCTTCCTACCTTTAGGGATATCATGTTCAAGAGAATCCAGAAAGTCAATTGCTGGATCCAAGTCAGCTTTTTCCAGCAGAGTTTTATTCTTCAATTTTACAGGCTCAGTAAAATGGAAATAGGAGCTTAACTTTTTTGCTTCTGTCAGAGACAAACCTGTTGTTGAAAGTAAAAAAGGAAATCAGCACTGCTCAGTAGCCTCTTTTAATAATGCATTGCCATTCTTCAATTTATTGAAAGTTCACTATCTTGACTTATGAAATATTTATGCATTTTATTTGTTTGATTTGATTCCTATCCTGCCTTTACTTGTACAATTAAGGTGGTATGCACAATGCTGCCACCTCTTATTTTCTCCACAACAAACCTGGGCATTGATGGGTACTATTTAAGTAAGTGGACAAATACATTAGAAATGGGTAGTGAGAAGTTTTAAGTAATTTCATTTACACAAACAATTTGAAACTAGAAGTTGATCAAAGGAAATATTTTGGTGGTAATTAAAGTGCAACAGAGGCCTAAAGCACATTAACCAAAAGTGTTGCAGTAGCAGGACACTAAACTCAGAAAATTTCTGAGCCTCAGAGTCCCCTCTAGGTACGAAAACTCAATATGGACAGCTTCCCACCATTTTGACATGTGAAAAGATGAAAATGATTGTATTAACTGTAAAATAGGGATAAAATCACTAAAAACAAAGAAATCCCCCAAATCTTCCGCTAAAAAGCCATCCTCACTTATTACTACAGTGGGGCAAAAAAGTATTTAGTCAGCCACC